ATGTTTTACCACGTTTTTATTATTTATTTATTTCTTTTCAAAATACTTTAATGTATAGGTGTTATTGTTACACCTTGTCCCAAATTTTCAATCTTAAGTATGAAAATCCATTTTTTAAATATGAATTATGTTTAAAACTAAATATATCTAAGCAAAGAGAAAAGTAAACATATACACCTTTGTGTAGTTTATAGTTATGTTTATGTTATGATTAAAATGATTTTAAAAGTCTTGAGTAAATTTTTTTTGTGTAGTTTTATGATTATAAAGTTACGAGTACAAATGTATGAAAATATTATTTAATTCTGTGTATTTAGCATGCTAAATGCTAGCTAAAATTAGCTTCAGTAAGTAAGCTATTTTACTCCAAAAATATTTTAAATGTCATTTCATGTCATGTCAAATTATATTTATTCATAAATTGATGTATAATCAACAGTGAAGGTGTGAAAAGTGTATTAAGAGTTTATTTTCCACAAGACTGTAGATAAAGAAACACCCATAAATAAAATGATGTAAACTGAATGGCCTCATAACTGTAACTGCAGCATGATTGAGGCCACTTGAGAAAGATTTACCAGCTTTAATTAGTGACCTTCCTGTGCTAATTTGCCGACAGGTATGACCTCATGACGCTCCTGGAAACTGTCAGGGATTGCTGGTGAACAACACAAATGCACCTCAGGGAGCTGCTATTTATCTCTTCAGAATAGCACTGGTTAGTAATGCAGTACACATTTTTGATTTACAGTACATTTATTACAGTTCACGTAGAGGAACCTGACATTATAATGAACCATTTTCGTGAAACACCCCCTCTGGGATTTAAGCTGCCAACCTTTAAATTACTGGATCTTTAACCGCAAGGTCACACCACCCACAAAAGGTCTCCTGTGACTGTTCCATTGTAGGCTGCATCAATAATAAAGATGAGTCAGAAAACAGGAAGTATAGGTGGAGAACATAGAGAACAATCTTCAACTTAATAACACTGCAGTACGTCTTGTCAATGAAATGTGCTGTGAATTTACCATTGTTGCTTAATTTATATGCATAATTACCATCACTCTGGGAAATTCATGATAGACAAGATATGGGGTTAGCCATGATAGACACTAAAGTAATCTTTGTAAAGTAAAGTAAAGTAATCTTTGTCACAAGAAAATGTTTTGACCCAGCAGGACTCAACCTCATGACGATCAGGCTATATGTTACCTTGCAATATGTTTTATATAAACATATAAATTATAACTTGAAATGCATTCTGTTAATTATAAGCGTAATAATTAAAATTGTGGTGAAACAGTAATGATGTGGCATATGTTAGAGCAACTGCATGTGAATTTTTTACCTTGAAATATCAGTTTTAAATCATACACAGATGAAAGTCTGGCGAAAGTCTGTTCTGGTTGTATGTAAAGGTACTATAGACTGTAAAAAAAAAAAAAAGGGCGAAGCCACTTCCTTCCACTATCCACCTTATTTTACAAATCGGAAGTAAGCCGTTTTCTTCACTATAAACCAGTGTCTTCACTTGAACATACATTAAAGGGGTCATATGATGCTATTTTAAAGATCATTATTTGGTGTATTTGGTGTAACAGAATATGTTGACATGCTTTAATGTTCAAAAAACACATTATTTTTCAAATACTGTACATTATTGTAGGTCCTCTATGCCCCGCCTCTCTCAAACACGTCGTTTTCAACAAAGCCCCCTCCTTTGACAAGCGCAGTCTGCTCTGATTGGCCAGCTGACCCAGTGCATTGTGATTGGCCAAACCCCTTTAACATGAGAAGAACTACCTAAAATGATGGAAACCATATTTGTAAAAAATAAATAAATAAAATATTTAAAATGTAATTAGATTTTTTTTTAGTTTGGCTCACATCCCATTTGTTTACATGGAGAGGGTGGGGTTTATGACCTATACTGCAACCATCCACCAGGGGCCGATTGAAACGTTTTGGCTTCACTTTTCAGGAGGTGTACAGCACGAACGAAACATTTACAGGACAATGATGTATTAAAAACAAATTATTTTCCTTTGCATTTTTGAAAAGTTTAACATACAGACGACAACGCTGTCAACACTGTCCCCATTCACATAGCTCCACGAAAATGGCTAAAACGCTGTATTATGCATGCCAGGCCAGTAGTTGGCGATGATAGCATAATAAGAGTTTTACAAGCAATTTTTAAAAGGCCAGTCATTTTTGACAGGGAACAGCAAATTAGGTTTTTCAGGGGCTTCAAGGGCTAGATGTATATGGAAATATAATGTGAATAGGTCTAAACTTCTTCCACTATTGCTGCTTATTTTATTTATTTTTTATTTTTACTGAAAATTTGGTTTATTCCGTTTCATATTTAAGGTATTGTTATAATAGTGTTATTCAAAAATGCTAAAATGTTTGTTTTCCTAAATTGGAATGGGTCTAATCTTAATTAATCTTAATATCAAAATATTGACTTGCCACAGATGGAGCTCATAATTAATTATATCCAGAAAAGGCTGTGGGATACACGCAACTGCAGTACTTTGATTATGTGCCATTTAATGGTTTCTGGTTATGTAATCATTGTTATTTGCTCTGCTGTTAAACTAAATAAGCTGCAGATATGCACATTTGTTATGATGATATGTCATACCAAATGCCAGTGTGTATTTATTTTTTTTAATTCACCGGTGCACAATGACACTAATGGTATCAGATGCCAGTCGATATGAAAATCTTTTGATCTAAAGCGCTTGTGCTTATGCTGTGTAGGAAAAGTGAAGGAAAAGTCAAGTCAAGTCACCTTTATTTATATTTTTTATTTATTGCTTTTAACAATACAGATTGTGTCAAAGCAGCTTTACAGTATTAAATAGGAAAATAGTGTGTCAATAATGCAAAATTACAATGGTAAACACTCATTTTTCAGTTAAAGGCAGTTCATCATTGAATTCAGTGATGACATCATCCAGCTCAGTTCAGTTTAAATAGTGTCCAATATCTGTCCAATCAAGTCGACGATATCGCTGGAAATTAAGTGTTCCCAACTAAGCAAAAACATCTGTGCCCATGGTGTTTAAAAAACATCCTAAAATGCATGAAGTTGGCTTATAATTATCCAGAGTAAGCAGAGCTGGACAAAGAAGCTCAAATATATGTAAAGCATTTTTTAAGTATATAATTCCCATTGACATAACTTCCATTTGTGTTATTTCATAGTTTTAAAGACTTTATTGTTAAAAAAGAAAAATAATAATAAGATTGTTAAATAAGTTGGTGTATCCAAACTTTGACTCGTCTTGTCACACTTAATGCTTTAGTGAATATTTTATCATAGGTTTATTATTGAAAGTCAATTTCCTTATAGACATCAAAGGCCCAGTAAAATGTACGCACAATAAAATACAACAAAGTATGCAACTAGGACAATAAATGGACCCACTTTATATTAAGTGGCCTTAACAACTATGTACTTAGATTTAAATTAATAATTTGGTACAATGCACTTATTGTGTACATACATGTTTTTACATTGTACTTATATTTTAAAAATACCTGCATGTAATTACATCTGTAATTAATTTCTGTAATTACATTTATAATTACACAGTTGACCCATCCCTTACACCTTAACCCACCCTTAAATCTACCCATACCAACAAACCTGTCCCTAACCTTACCCATATCCCACCTTAATAGCAGCAAAAGTGTTTTGCAATACAATATGAACACAATAAGTACATTGTACTTAATTTTTGATGTAAGTACATAGTAGTTAAGGCCACTTAATATAAAGTGGGGCCATAAATGAAACTGCAAATTCAATGTACATAAATAACAAACAAAATGGTTTTGGCCACTAAATATTGTAATTAAAAAATATATGAATCTATAACCTTTAAAACGTGTGACACTTGAAACTGAATGTTAGCCGGTGTGTGTTATTGTGTTCATGTACTATAGCAAAAATATTGTTTAGGACAAAATTCACAGAGGTACTTTAAGAGGTTTTAATTATGTGTTTAAACCAACATACAAAACCCCTAAGCAAGAGGAAACAAGCATTTATGTAATTAAAGGGATAGTTCACCCAAAAATGTACATTCTGTCATTATTTACTCACCCCCACATGTGACCCTGGACCACAAAACCAGTCGTAAGTCTGGACCCATATAGCCAACAATATGGGTCAAAATGATGTATTTTTCTTTTATGCCAAAAATCATTAGGATATTAAGTAAAGATATTTTGTAAATTTCCTACCGTAAATATATCAAAACTTAATTTTTGATTAGTAATATGCATTGCTAAGAACTTCATTTGGACAACTTTAAAGGAGATTTTCTCAATATTTTGATTTTTTTTGCACCCTCAGATTCCAGATTTTCAAATAGTTGTGTCTTGGCCAAATATTGTCCTATCATAACAAACCATACATCAATGGAAAGCTTATTTATTCAGCTCTCATGTGATGTATAAACCTCAATTAAAAAAAATGGACCCTTATGACTTGGTTGTGTGGTCCAGGGTCACATATAGTTGAAAACATGTTTCAGTTTCTTTCTCTTCCTGAGCATAAAAGAAGATAGTTTAAAGAATGTTAGTAACCAAACAGTTGACGCTACCCATTGACTTCCATATGGAAAAAAATACTAGAATGGAAGTCAGCGGCTACCATCAACTGTTGCATTACTGCCATTCTTCGAAATACCTTCTTTTATTTTCTTTAATTCATATAGGTTTCAAACAACATGGGAATAAACGTTGACAACATTTTCATTGTTGGGTGAACTATCCCTTTAACTTTTGGCTGAAACCTTTTAATTACTGAAATAATGCATGTAGCCCATGTTCGCATGTAGCGAACAGTATTTCGATGTAATACCATAGAAAAACATGGTACTACCATGGTACTTTTTGGTGGGTGGACAAAAAGTTACAGACACTGTCTATTGTCAACCCAAATACTGGAAACACTTAACGCAAACATCTGCTTTGTGATTTTAGTGAAAAATTAGGTCCACGGTGCAACGGACAATGTTTACTTCCAACGCAAACACACCGAGAATGAGCGCAGAGTGACGCGGTGAAGCACGTCCGCAGCTCTCCATCCCCATTCAGCTCGCAGCAGGAAGTGTGCTGAATACACCGAGAAAAAGACGGTGGAGCCGCCCGCTGAAGAAAAAAAAAAAGAGTTAAAAAATAACTATGGCGAGCGACTGAACATGCCATTTATCCTCTGCGCAACCAAAAAGAGCATAAACCCCCATCCCTGATCATTGTGCACGTCTGTAAGTCGGGTAAGTGGTTGCAGCTTGAAGGTGTTTGTTTAATTGCACACAATGGCCACATTCATTGAATCAGAGCTCGCGAGCCTCGGGATGTTTGTGTCGCTAGGTAGCTAGCGGACTAGCACTGACCTTACTGCTAAGCAGAAACCATTTCACACTATATACCGGGCGTGTATCGTTTCAGACAAATTTATTTGAGTGTTATTTATCCACACGACTATTTTACGACATGAAAATGGTTTATTTTGTTTGCTAGACTGTTTTGTTTTGCTCTCGTTTTCCGCGCTAGTATCGTGAGGGGAGGCTAGCGCGTTAGCTGCGGGGGGGTGGTTGCCGCTGTCAGACCGACACATTAAAATAATCGATGCGATCGCGTACGATCCGCGGATTTTTTTTCGCGCATTCGAATCCTCACACGAGGTAGACAAAAAATGAGCGCGAATATTCCGTCCAAAGCGGTTGGCGCTTCGGAAATTAACGTTTTCCCCCCCTCGCACACTCGATCTGGCTGCTATAGCCCACCAGCTAATATTTGCACAACGACTCGCATCCTGTGAAAAACATACGGGTCGGGTTGTAAATTTTGGTATCCCTCACAACGACGGACACACGTATTTGACTAGAGAAATTATCATATATCCCAGCTGGATGCACGATATTTTTGTCTGGGTTCAGGACTTTCGGCGTCTAATTTGGTGAGTCTGGGGAGGGAAAATGACACTGAATGTCGGGTATCTGCATCTGCTTTTGTCCGGATAAAAAGCGGGTGTGGGAGCGTCAGGCCAAGGTCATAGCGAGGCGTTAATCGCTTACATTTGATATAAAAACAGGTTTTGTTCCAATTGACGAACATTATTGTTATTATTAGGGGTCCACACAGACGTGTTGGGCCCACCCGTTTGTTTCTTTGTGAGCTGCGCCATTGGGAAATGACTAAATCTAATGCATAACAACATATTTCAACCGTAACAATATTTATATGCTTAGGTTTTTTCCTTTTCACGCAGCCTTTATGTTTTAGTCTTTAAATTTAGTTTTTATAAGAGAGCGTACTTTTGTACTGGTCCCAAAAAAATCATGGAAATATCTACCGTAAATTCATTTTCAAGTTAGGTTTTCCTCATTTGGGTATTTCTTTCATGTCGAGTAAAATTTCTTGCACGTCATTGTGATGTTTGATTTGCAAAGCTGTTGTTTTTCTTTTTAACTTTTTTGACACAAAATTGTCTGAATGATTAATTATTTTTAATTTATTAGACTGTAAATATTATAGAAAAGTCTTGGTCAAAATTAGTAGAGTTTATCAAGTTTATCACTGGTCATGCATTGTAAAGCATGACTTAGATTTAAACACAATACATTTATTTCACTAACAAAAAACAACATACATTACCATGTTTTGTGATGTTATATGATAATTCAGTTGTTACACGTCCAAGTACATGTCTCGGATAAGTACCATGGTATTACCATCTGATACCATCACTATACCATGATTTCTTTTCTTTTCTTTCACTGCAACATGTTCTAGTAATGCTTGTACCAACCTTCAAATGAGCAAACATGGTGCAAGTAGTCTATTTGTATATTATTGCATTCATTTTATTCTGTAAATCGGGACCCATCTGGCATTTTGCAGTATGGATCTTGACAGCATTGATGAGCTAAAGCATCCAGATGGTCTTGAGTCAGAGACCACTGGTCAGGTTTTATACCCTAAGGGTATGCGATCTTAACTCGGATCACAGATGCTGTGAGACTAGATTCATTCCACATACAGCAGACTGTGCTATGCATGAGTGATAATCACATCATAAACACTTCACATAATCTGTATTGCAACTTGTAGCACAAAATGTACTTGCAAATGTAAGAAACGGTGAAACTACAGAATCTTTGTAAATTTTGAAACTTTAGGCTGTGGAACTTGCATAAGCCTTTAAGCATTATTTTTCATAGTATATTTCATTGTTCAATTACTTGGCATATTAAATAAATAATTACAGTAAAATATGCCTTGGTACCAGACTTACCTGATTATCATGAATAGATTTAATTACTGTTATAATTAGTAGCTTGAATGTGATTACATGAAATATTAGTTTATAATGACATGAGATACCTATGTAAGATGCATACATGGATATCACATTTTGTAAAGAAACTTGGTGACCTACAAATACAGGCTGATTCAAAGCTACGATGAAATTACTTATATGACCCATGCAGAGTAATTTGATGCATTATAAACTATTTTTCTTCAAACCTTGATGCAGCTCTAAACAAGGCTGTTCTTGCCTTATTGGCCTCTCGTTTACTGCCAAATCACTTCACATTGAAAGGTTTTGATATCAGTCACACATTGTCTGAACATTGGGTTATTGTTGAGGTGGCTCTATTGAAGTTATTGTACTGACAGTGAAATAATGCCATACAACAGGCTTGAGAGAGCCAGGAAAATAATCCAGCTGAGCTTTCTAGTGTTTCAGTTTTCTGATGGCCATTGTGTGGTAAAAGAGCACTGTTTCTTTCATTCCAGTTGTGTGGTAAGATGAATTGTTCCCCAGTGGGGACTAATTGAAGTGAATTTGTGGTCATGCATTTTATTTAGTTCTCTTAAAGTAAACTCCACTTGAATAATACTGTGCTTTACATATTATCATGAGTAGAAAAGTTGTGGCACTTATTTTGTACTGTCGCCAAACACCCTGACCCTTTATATTGAGCTCCCAGCTACAAAGATTCGGATCAGGCTGGTTCTGTATTTATATTGGAGCCAAAGTAACCAAATTTCACTTGCTTTAGCGATGCCCATGGCAGTGATTTAATTTGAGGAAGTGATTTTATATGCAATACTGGCATTTAGTGACCCCTGAAAGCAACAGAAAATCAGAATCGATGCACGCGTTTTGAAGAGCACATCTGATTGATTTAACAATGGTTAAAAATGAATACTAGTTTTAAGAGTAACTTTCAGTATTACAATTGGGTTCATCGGTTCACAAAAATATTAAATGTGGAAATGAAATAAAATCTTGGTTAGTCTGATGTGCTGCCAAAACCTCATCACATGTGGCTTTAAATTAAAAAGATTCCCTCATAAATCAACTGCCATGCCATATAATTCATCAAAGAGTACATTGTCTGTAGTTATTAATCTGAGCATGAATGTGGTATTGGAGTTTCTTATTTTGGCAGAATAGCTAAAGAGTTGCCGGGGGATGACAAGGCAATGTAACCTTGGTTGTTTGTAGGAGTTTGTATACCTTACCGCTAGGGCTGGGTATCGATTCAGCAAGCTCTCGATTCGATTCGATTCTCGATTTTTTTTTTTTACATTAAGTGAATATAGTTTTAATGCAAATGCTATTGATATTGCTAAAAAATGAACAGTAAACATCAGTTTACAAATGGTGAATTAATAAAAAGAAATTAAGAACCACATGCCTGTATTTTAAACCTATTCTTTTTTTTTTTTTTTTTTTTTTGGGGCCTTTTTTTAAAC